CCGCACTCCTTCGATTGACTGTCTCCTAGCCCGGGCCAGGCTCACGCACCTCGGCCGCCTGCTTCGATCGAGGCTCCCCGCACTCGGGGCCGTCTTGAGGCAACGCCCTCATGGTCTACGATCGCGCTGTTTGGATTTCCTTGTCAGTGACCTTCACCGCGCGCGTTGGCTTGCGGCTAGGTGCTCCGGCTTGCCGGAGCCAGAAGACGACCCCGAAGTTTGGACAAGTTTTGTCATGCAAGATGCATTTCGCTGAAAGCAGTCGGTGGCGCTGGTGTGCGACGCGCGCGCCGGTTCAGGCGATGATGCCAGTTGTCGGCGTTTTGCTTGTGCTGTGTGCGGGGTTGCTTTTGAAACATCAAAGCAGCACACGCAGCGCAGGAGAATTCAGCGCGGGGAGCGCTGCCCACAGCGCTTCTACGCCACCGCGAGCGGGGTGTGCCCCGCTTGCGAAACCACCTTCGGCACGCGCGTTGTCCTCCTGAGCCGCCTGTGCGACAGCAGGCGGATCGCGCGCTGGCAGAGAATCGTCGACCACCCGAGGAAGTACACGAATATGCTCCCCGAGGAAGTCGCCAGCCTTGACGCCCTAGATCGCGAGGCCCGCACGGCGGCCAAGCGACTCTGCCACTCGCGCGCGCTCGCCGCAGGCGGCTGCGCAAGGACGGCACCCCCGTGGGCCGACCGACGACTTGACGGTCTAGGATTGGCGGTGCGGTGGTGCACTATTTGTCGCTGCCGCTTCTTCTCGAGACGCCCTGCGCAACCCTTGCGCAACAAAAAGATCCCCAAGATTCTGAGCCCTGGACGTCCTGGGGATCTCAAGACTGGCACTGTTCCAAGGTATGTCATGCCAGGAACCCTATTGTAATCTCAGGATATCGTTGGTTTGCATCACAGAAATCCTGGGAACCTAACGAAACCACACGGTTTGCGCATCACCGACGTCGCGAACTTTGTGATTTCATTTTGGGATTCCTGGGGTTCTGAGCCTTGAACTTCCCGGGGATGGTTTTGCTCCAGGGTATGAAATCCCAGGAATCCCACTGACATTACCAGATTTCGTTGATTTGCATTCCAAACATCCCAGGAACCCCGATGAAATCGCAGGGTGTGCTGGTTTCTCATCTACAGGATGGCTCACACGCTTGTCCCCCCTCCATGTAGAGGAAGCAGAAGCTTGCATCTGTCACGTTGGCGCTTGTGGAGAATCTGCCGCTAGCGGATGCGGGGGAAGGCTTCGGCGAAGAAGAAGAAGAAAGGGCGCGGAGAGGGAAGGGATACAGGAGGGGAGCGACACGACTCCACCCTCGTGGAACGGAAGAAGGCGTAGAATGGGCGCTGGGGGGGGGGCTATCCATACACATAAAGATACATGCTTTCAACCTGCATATATGTGTATGTATATACACATACGTGCATAAATACATACATACATACATGCATGCATGCATGCATGCATGCATACATACATACATACATGTTTGCGAACATGCATACGTACATGCAACACTCATACATACACACATGTATACATACATACATACATACATACATACATACATACATACATACATACGCACAGACATACACACATACATACATACATACATACATACATACATACATACATACATACATACATACATACATACATACATACATACATGCATGTATGCACGCATGCATGCATGCATGCATGCATACACGCACACATGCATGCAGCGCGTGCTAGCGTTGCTGGCAGAAAACCGGGGGGAGGATCACTGGGGGTTTTCAACCCTTCGAAAACCTGAGGGAGTCGGGAGAGTGAAATCGTGGTGGGGACAGTGGTGGGGACTGGGGACAGTGGGAACAGTGGGGGGGGCACTGATGGGGACAGCGGTTGGAACAGTTCGGACAGTGGGAAACTGGTGGGGACAGTGGGACAGAGGTGAGGAAGGTGGTGGTGGGGACAATGGTGAGGGGACACTGGGACAGTGGTGGGGACAGTTGGGATGGTGGTGGGGATACCGGTGGGGGCGGTGGTGGGACAATAGGACAATGGTATTGTGGGGACAAGAGTGGGGACAGTGGGACAGCGGTGGGAATAGTGGGGACAGTGGGACAACGGTGGGGACACTGGGGACAGTGGGAAAGTGGTGGGGACAGTGGGGAGAGGGGACCGCGGTGGGGAAGGTGGCGGGGACAGCGGGGATAGTGCGACGGTGGTGGGGGCATTGGTGGGGACAGTGGGGACACTGGTGGGAACAGTGGGGACAGTGGGACAGTGGTGGGGAGGACCGTGGTGGTGGGGTCTGAGGGCGGTGGTGAGTGCATTCACCGTGTCCTCATGGAAGACTTCCGGGTCGACCGTCCTCATGAGGACAGTGGTGGAGACCGGGGAGTCTTTTGCCGGCGGCGAAGACCTTGGGGGGGAGGTTTCGAACCGGTAGTGACCCTCCCCGGCTTGGTTTTCTGGAGGGGCGGGGGTTCGAACCGGTAGTAATTCTCCCCCCTGGTTTTCTGGAGAAGGGGGGGGGGATGGGTTAATGGGGGGGGGGGGCTGGGGGAAGGGGGGGGGTTCGAGCAAGGAGGAGGGGATTTTCAAAGGGGGGGTGGAGGGAAGAGGGGGGGGAAATGTTACACAGTAAAGCGGCGGTGAATCACGCTCCTTCGCACACATATATAGATACACATACAGACAGACAGACAGACAGACAGACAGACAGACAGACAGACAGACAGACAGACAGACAGACAGACAGACAGACAGACAGACATACTCATATACGTACATATATACGTACGCGCATACGTATATACATACACACCTGCATGCATATACACATACATGCACATACATGCATGCATGCATACAGACATACATACAAACACACATACATGCATGCATGCACACATACATATATATATACATATATATAGAGAGAGGGAGAGATTTACATACATACATACATGCATGCATACATTCATACACACATACACTGCACGTAATGCAGAGACATCTGAATACATATGTTATACATTTACGGTGTATGTAGATTGCTGCCGCGTGCGAGACCCACTTGCGTATGTACGCAGCTGCGTTTGGCAGCGGGGAGTGTCACCACGGCCGCATTGTAAACGCCTCGCTTGCAACATAGGTGGCCAGAGCACCCGATAACGTCCATATACGCGCTTCGCATGCGCGGCGGTCGAACCTGGTCGCATCTGCTTTCGCGTTGTATTACATTGATGCCGCTTGTCTATTTCAGGAGGGTCTCGCTGGGGTTTGTGATTACTCCAAGACTCTGCATCATTGAGCGGTTCATGCGCGTACGATCCCTATCTGAAATTAGGGCAGTCTCGAAATGAATGCACATGTACTGTATGATAAGTGTGCTGTGTTGTTCATCGTCCTTGGACATGCAGGAACTTTCTTGGGATTCGTCGAGAAGATCCCTCACCTCTTAAAGCTGCTCCGACTTCGCCCAACGGGAAAAGGTTATTTGTGCAGGAGACTACAGTAATTTAAATTGCATTAGGCATTGCTGTCAAGTCGGGGACTGCGGAAGCATCAAAGGACATGCAATGATGACGGCAATCGTAGGCATGGCGTGTTTCTGATGAGGCCGTTGTTTATTTCGCTCGTTGCCCATGCATCGTGTTGATTTCGCATGCGCTTTGTCATCCACGTCAACACATGGCCTACCCGTTGTGTAATTTTGCACGGGGTCGTGCAGGTCGCAAAGAGGAGGACGGATTAGTAATAGAACGAGGCCCCCGATGGGACAAGAATCGCACGGGACGCAAGACTGATCATAATAATGAAGAGGTTGCGTTGCCCGGAGCAGGCGGGGCCAAGATGTGAAGAGGGAAGTATAGGTTGAAGAAGAGGAGGTGGGAGCAGAGGGACTGGGAGGGACATTGGGGAGGCGGAGCAGCAACACAGTCAAGACGCAAGAAAAGGCCACTTCGGGCTCAGGAGATCACCACCCACCAAACCACCCCAACCCAACCCGAAGGCTCAAATTTACAGTCGATTTCCAGTGGGGGGGGGGTCGGGGAACATCGAAAAAACACGCGTGGAACCCTTACCCCCCCCAACCCGAAATTCGGGTCTTCGGGTTGGGTTGGGGTGGTCTGGTAGGCAGTCAGGAGAGGCTCTGGTCTTGGGCCCGGTCTTCAGATCCAGGTCGGGGAACACTCGAAGCCGAGGCTCACCGTGGCGGGATAAGCCTACTCGTTCTCTACTGCAGATAAGCGCAGGAGCACGAGGGAAGGGATGAGTTCCCTAGGAAAATGTTCGGGGGTGGACAGACCTCCTACCCTGACACGTCGATGAAGGAATTGGCCGTTGTCGTTTCGCGAGAGGGCGTCGCGGCCGTCATTTTTGCGGGTCCAGGTCCGTCGGTTTCGGTCCCAGGCCGTTTTCACTAAGGGGAGGTCTACTAAAGGGAGGCTTGTCCACCGCCGAAATGTCAGGGCGACTGTGGGCCAGACGGTGGAGAGAGAGAGAGAGAGAGTGGACGAAGCGGGATTTGCAACATCCTGCTCGGAATCTAGTGTGCCATATGCGTATTGGCACGTCTTTTGCACCGACTCGCAGAGACGTCATTCCAATGACACTCCCAGACAGTGTATCGCCCCCCCGCTTGAAATGAGAGGGCCAGATGCAAGCCAGATCTTCAAGTGTGAGCCCATCATTGCTAAATTGAGGTAAGTCAACATCATCCTCGGCATGTTTGGGTTGATGCACTATTGAGGGTATGCGTCGAGCGATGAGGGATGATCATTGTGTTGCATTTTTGGTGGCATTTCTCTTCGTGGGGTGTCTGGGTCTTTAAAGATGCGCGCGCGTCCCCGGCATCGTGAACACGGTTCTATTGGTATCAGATGTTTGTTATATGTTTGCAGTGCCGTTATATTTCCAAGTCCAGGGAGCGTGGATGAGCGTAGGCCCGCGTTTAGTTGGTTGCCTGTTTGCGTGTATTGTCGTCAATTTGAGGAGGAGCAACATGCCAGATGCATACCATCCATGTTTGCCGTTTACGATTGGTCCCATGCCAGTGCTTTGTTTTGTCGTGGAATGTGGCCGTGTGCTGTCTACTAGGCGTTTATCGGAACATGTGGCTTCATACCTCCACTGTTGATGCACACTGTAAGTACGCGTTGACCGTCGATGGAGTCCAGCATTCCGGTCGTCACTCGGCAGCCGGCGAAGGTTGGGCATTAATTGCGTGGAGTTCCTTCCCGTGTTCGAGTTTGACGAGGATGGGTTGGGCGTGCTATAGGCTGCAGGCAGACTTTTGCAGGCCACGGACTTGTAGGTCAAGATGCAACTCCGATGAGGTTAGATTCAGCATCTGCGCTTGCAGATACGTGGCCGAAAATCAGCAGGATCCCGTGTACGTCGGCTCAGTCCCATGCTCAATCCGGCTGAATCTGGCTCAGTGGCCGCTTTATCGGGGTTGATTGTTTCCAGTCGTTCCCACGCAGCCCTCCCAGGAGTTGCCTCCTAATGTAGGCAGCGATGAAGGCGCGCTCATGTGTAGGTTCAAGTCGGGCCTGTCCCCCTACAGGGGGATTTTCGACGAACAATGAAAATACCCCAAAAAAGCTCCCAAAAGGCTAAAAATAATGAACAAATAGTACCCAGACTATTTTTGCATTATTTTTAAAATTATTTTTTGAGTATTTTTTGTTTCTCATCGAAAATCCCCCTGTAGGGGGACACGCCCGACTTAAGTGCAGGTGAGGTCCGTTTGTTTGTCAGGGGCAGGGAGGCGAGAAGGGCAGGGCGAGGCGCGGCAGCAGGCCGAGGGCCGGAGGGGAAGGAGGCGGAGCAGGGAGGAGCTGAGGTTAAGGCGGGCGTGTCCTCCCCTCTTGATTGGTCCTGCCCTCCTGCCTCCCCTCGCCTGCTCGTGTCTCCTGCCCTCCTGGGCTCCTCGTCGGCCTCGCCCCCCCTCGTCCTCGCGTCGGGCCTCGGCCGTGGCGACGTGCGCGGCCGTCGTCTGCTCCGCAAGCCTGGTTTTAAGTCAGGCGTGTCCCCCTACAGGGGGATTTTCGACGAAAAATAAAAAATACTTTAAAAGCTCCAAAAAGGCAAACAAATACGAAAAAAATAGTCCCCAGACTATTTTTGGATTTTTTTTTGATTAGTTTTGGGGTATGTCTTATGTTTCGTCGAAAATCCCCTTGTAGTGGGATTTTCGAAGAAAAATAATAAAGTAAAAAAAACCCAAAATACCCCAAGAAGGTCAAACAATAGTCAAACGATAGTCCCCATATTATTTTCAGATTATGTTTTGATTATTTTTTGGGGTATTTTTAATTTTTCATCGAAAATCCCCCTGTAGGGGGACAGGCCCGACTTAAAGCTAAGGGTAAGGCGGGCGTGTCTCCGTACAGGAGGAATCTTCAAACATATTCAGAGCATAGTCAGGGTACGATTGGTTCATTGTGTCAGAATATGTGTTTGAACATGTTTGGCTACTCTTATGTTTCCTCCAAAATCTGCCTGTAGGGGGACACGCCCGACCTAAAGCGAAGGGGATGACGAGGAGATGAGTTCTAGGGAGAAGAGCATCGAACAACTAAACAACTGCGCAAACACCATGCCCCGCTCGGAGCTCCGCGCGGATTGCTTTGATCGGCGCTGGGCCCCCCATGGCGCCGCCTCCGCCGCCCCTGGCGCGCTCCATGCGCCAGGGAAGGGCTTCAGCGCCGATCCAACAGATCCGGCGGACATCCGAGAAACGATGTGTCTGCGTCTTTCGTTCTCGAACAGCGATGTTGAGGAGGAAGGGGGAAGGCAGGAGGAAGGGAGAGAGGAGGCGAGGAGGCGGAGGAGGAGGAGGATCGGGTGAATGAAGAGGGTCGGAGTGGGAGGACGGGCAGGAGGAGGGGAGGGGGAAGAGTTGTAGGAGGAGAGATCGTGGGAGGAGGAGGACGGGATTGGGATCGGCATGTTTTTTTTGCGGGGGGGGGGGAGAGGAGCGATGGAGGAGGAGGAGGAGGAGGAGAGGAGGAGGGATCTGAGGGATCTGATGAGGCGGCCTGCGTCTTCCAGGCCCTAGTCCCGCGGCACGGACCTACGCTGCGCCGCATTTTCGAACCGCACTCCGACGAGGCGACGAGGAAGGCACAGGGGCGACCCGCGCCAGGAAAACCAAAACGGCCTAACGGCCCGAGGCGAGTCCAGCCGCGGCGACGCGACGGGGGACAAGCCAGAAAACCGAGGCGCCCAGCAGAGGCAACAAGGCAGGGCCAATGCCCGACACAGCCGCCACCGACGGGCCGAGCCTCTCAGCCCAGCTAGTGGGTGTACTTCTTGAGAGCGTTCGCCTTCACAAAGACGACCTTGCCGAAGATCCCACGATTCCTGGCCTTGGTCGCCTTCGTCTGGCGGGCCTTGATCATCACAACGCCTGGGATGACGAACTCACCGATGTACTTCGCCACTGACGGTGCAATGCCTTCGAGAATGCTCAAGGTCTTGACATCACAACATTCGGGATGACGAAACTACCGATGTACTTCGCCTTTGGCGCTACAATGCTCGCGAGAGTGCTCAAGGCCTCCTGAGCTCCTCCGTCATCTTATATTCTCCACCGCTCCTGCGGGCTGCGCCCCCCCCGCGCGTCCGCAAATGGCTCCACTGAGCCAGTGGGGGCTAGGAGGAGGAGGGGGAGGAGGGGGAGGAGGAGGAGGAGGAGGAGGAGGAGGAGGAGGAGGAGGAGGAGGAGGAGGATCGGGGGAGGATGGGAAGGATAAGGATGTGGGGATCAGGATAGGGAGCAGCATGAGAAGACGAGGGGTGGGAGGAAGGAGGGAGCAGGGGGATGGGGACGAAGAGGAGGAGAGAATGGGGCAGGGGAGGTGGGAAAGTGGGACAACCAGAAGGGCGAGAGGGAGTTGAGCGAGGGAAGGGGTAGGAGGTGAAGGAGGAGGGTTTGCACGTACGCATATACACCGTTTCTGGTTCGAACTCTTCTCCTATGTATTGCATGTTTATGTTCATCTATGTTTCTCGTTCTTGACCCAGCGCGTGGGTTAATTTTCGAGAAACCCTGCTGTGCTCCCAATGTGAGATCATCGATGTCTTGCGCTTGCCCTTAATCGTTATTCGACCCTTTTGCGAATTCGTAGAGACATCACTGCTTGCAGCAACGGCTTGATGTCGCAATTAGCTTTCATTGGATGTATTGTTTAGCAGGTTGGCCGATGGGCACGAGCATTCAGCATATTGAAAGTTTGGCATGATCATACTAGGCCATGCCGTTGATTACCTGCGGAATTTCGGCGCAGCATCACTTCTGAATAACGCGACGTGGCTCATTCCGACCGCTGGTGATGCTGATTATTCCACAGGTTTACGCCACATCCACCGACACCTTGATCGACTTGGGGATGGCGTGTTGCTGTCCTGGGGCGTACTTGTGTTGTCTTGTTTCTTTGGGTGGGCGGGCTCCCTCCGTGGACTGTAGCAATGTCGCGCGCGACGAAAAGAAGGACACCCTGAAATGCAAGGCATGCAAATGATACCCATGCGAGCGCCGGTGCCATGATCCGTAGAAGTACGACCAACGGGGGCGAGAGCGAGACGGAGGACGAAACCGATGAATGAGGAAAGCCAAGCAGGAGAAAGCGGAAGAGGAGGAGGAGGAGGCGGGTGAGGGTGGGGGAGGGACGGAGGAGGGTCACCGGAGGAGGAGGAGAAGGAGGAGGGACGATTTGGTTTGGAGGCGTGTACTTTTTCCTGTCTCTGGTGGCCTTTCGGGAAAGATGTCCGACAATTCGGACAGCGTGTGCGTCGCCCTGGATGTCGAGACCCCGTGCAGGTGTCTGGACCGTGCAATTTGTCATGGCCGTCTGTCCAAGCCGGCTTGGTATGGGGGTCAGAATATGAGGGGTGTTTCGCGGGGTCTTTTCGGAGCGCTTTGGAGGCGGGGGCAATGTCAGGTGGTGGAGGGATGGTGCGTGGTCAGTACGTTTCTCGTGGCTGACTTTCGAAGTGTTCGCCGTGCAGACATGGAGAAATACCTGCGAACACCCGCGCTCCTTGACGGCAGCTCTCGGTCCAAAAACCGGACGAGTGGTTCTCGAATGGGACGCGGCGCATCTCGCCACCTGGCTTGGGTCGCAGGTATGCGGCCACACGGATGGTTAGGGGATTTCGTGGGAGGCCGGACGGGGTCGTCTTGCAGGTAGTCGTGGGGTTTCTTGGGGACTTCTTTGGGGCTTCTTGGAAGCTTCGGAGGTTTTCTTGGAGGTCCCTCAGGGCCTTTTGGGGGCGTTCTTGGGTCAGGCTGGGGGCGTCCTGGGGCCGACGGCTCGAAAAAGGTGCCCTCTGGACTCCGTCTTGCAGCCGTCTGGGGGCCCTCTTGGGTTGTCTTGGGGGCTTCGTGGGCTGTTGTTTGACCCTCTTCGACCTTTCTTTGGGGCCCCTGTGGCCGCCTGGGGGCGATGCCGGAGGTTCCTTTGCTTGTTTTGGACGTTGTGAAAGCCGAATAGGCGAGCGTGCGAACAATGGTTGGTTTTCGAAGGGAAATGGGCCGATTTCTGTTTCTTGCGACCCTCTCGGGGGGCATCTTGGGGGCCTTCTGGGGCGTCGTGGCAGCTTCGGAGACCGCCAGGAGGCCGCCTTGGGCGTCTAGGGTCGTGGCCCCCGGGGGCCGTCTGGGCAACGTTTTGGTATGTTTTTGAGCACTTGTGGAGCCCTCCGCTCCCCCGTGGCGCGTTCGGTCTGGGGTCGGGCTGGGCGAGGGGGGGAGGTCGAATTGCCGTTTTGGGGTCCCTGGGGTGATCATGGGGGGGGGAGAATCTCACACGCCTAGAGGCGCACAAGGGGTCGGCGGATTTTCCCACACGGTAATCTCAAGACTCGCGCCGCCCCGCAAACCATGTTTTGTTGACGCTGGTCATGCTGATTGTGTCTCATGCCCTGTTTGCTTCGGCTCAGAACGTTTGAGAAGAAAGTGGCGTTGCGCACGCCGTGCCGGTCAGTGTGTAAGCATGAATTCCGATAGCCGTCGCAAATTGTGTAATATTGCAGCACGTATGATGCTGAACGGAATGGTTGGTGGAGACGGCTTGTCCACGGAAGAACCCCTCGAACGGGGAGCAGCTCTGCAATTATTGGATGGGACGGGAGTGGTGGGAAATTTCGGTCTTTCGTATTCGACGTCGGGCCGTCGTTGCAATTGCGCTTGTGGAGGCCAATGTCAGTATCTTTGTGTGTGAGTGTGTGTCGCTCTGTGTGTTCATTGGCGTGATTGTCTGTCTGCGTTGTGCGCTTGCTTGTCCGCTTCGATTTGCGCCATGTATGGTTGTCATTGTCCTAGCTCCTGTGCGCGCCTGTCTGTCTCACTCGTCATCACCTTCCAGGGCCATCGCAATGCTTGTCCTTGCATTATTGTCCCGTCTGCGCAGCCCATGCTGCGACCCAGGGTGGGATTATCGTTGACTCGCCCTCCGTATGGCGCCGAACCATATTCCCGTAGTACCATCATTTATTGATTCGACGATCCACAGGCGATCCGCGCTTATTCTGCGGTTTCGCCTTGCCAAGACAGTCCACCCCAGACCCGCTTGAGTTTGATCGAAACGTCCTGGGGGCCCTCGCATCAACCATGCTGGTCGAGCGAGCGGGAAACAACACGCGCAATTTCCCAACACGGCAGTGCGTTGGCCAAGGACGCAGCCAAGTCATACATTGAGGATGCGCTGTAAGGGTGCAAACGCCTTGGAGGGCCATGTTGGCGTTTTCGAACGGGGGGGCCAGCGAACGTCGCCAAGGATCGGCCGAAGGGGAAAGGATGCAAGGCTAGCCCTGGAAAGTTGCTCATCCTCACTTTGCGGCCTGACTATATAGGTGTGCCACCACCCACCAAACCACCCCAACCCAACCCGAAGGCCTCAAATTGACCTCCATTTCCACTGGGGGGGGTCGGGGAACATCGGGAAACCACATATGGAACCCGTACCCCCCCCAACCCGAAATTCGGGTCTTCGGGTTGGGTTGGGGTGGTCTGGTAGGTCGTCAGTGTGGGGGGGGGGGGGGGGCGATGGTAGTGCACATGCTTGCCTCCCCGTGCCCTCCCCGCGCCCTGCCACTCTCCATTGACCCCTCGGCGTCCCGCCCTGCCTGCAGCGCGCCCCTCCCTTTTCGATTTGACGTAGCGACAGAAGTGGAGCGTCCTGAAACATCACCTCCAGCCCGCTACAGTCAGATCGCAGAATAAGGATGAGCAACGTTTCGAGGCTAGTTACCCTTGCATCCATGCCCCTTCGGCCCATCCCTTGCGGCTTTCGCTGGCGAGCCCCGTTCGAGAACGTCAGCATCTCCCCCCGAGGGCCCTGCATCCTTGCCGCGCATCCTTCTCATGCGACTGGACTGTAGACCCCACCTTACTGCTGCATTCCTCGAACTGGATCGAGGACCAGGGGCCCGAAATCGGGCGACGACGCACGCGGTCGCCTGCCCACTCGGACAGACGCCATGGGAGACAGACCAGGCGAGCTTCCAGGGGCCAGGAGCAGAAGGGTTGACTGCGAAACGCTCCTCCACCCTCTTTTCCTGCTCCCCAAATGGCTTCGCGGTTGGGGGGGAGGAGGAGGTGGAGGAGGAGGAGGAGGAAGAGGAGGAGGAGGAGGAAGAGGAGGAGGAGGAGGAGGAGGAGCAGGAGGAGGGAGGTGGAGGAGGAGGACGAGGAGGAGGAGGAGGAGGAGGAGGAGGAGGAGGAGGAGGGGGAGGAGGAATAAGCGTCTGGATGAGTAGTCACCCCCTCAAAAAAGAATGGAGGAGGAGGCCGTGAGCAGCTACCCCCTCGAAAATTGTGGAAGTCACCTGCCCCCCAGATGGCGTCGCGCCTGGGGGGGGGGCCGAGCAGCAGCCGCAGCGCCAGGACCCGCGGGCTCGTGCCGCAGCCTCCCCGCCCGAGGGCTCGAGCCCGCCGGCTGCCGCGCCGCGGGCCGAGAGCCCCGCGGCCCTCCGCCGCCGCCGAGGATGCGCCGCCGCCGCGCCGCCCCGCGCGCGCCGGGCGCGGCGGCGCTGCGGCTGCTGCTCGCTGGCGCGGCGCCCTGCCTGCTTCGGGGCGGCGCGCCGGGAGGGGCAGGACGAGCAAGCAGCGGCGGAGCGTCCCGGCTCGCCCAGAGCCCCACCAAGGAAGGTGCTAAGAACCTTTCTCATGGCTTCCACGGCATGCTCTCAGAACATGTCTGGCTGGGGCCGTCTTTTTTTTAACACATCGGGCTTGTGTTCTAAGGACATTGCTTTGGTTATTTCAAGCATTTGGGGGTTCTAAGAACATCTCGTGGTAGGACTACAGGAATGCCGGGACTGTCGGCCCCTGCTCAAGACGAGGGGAAGGTGCCGATACCCGGAGGCCCAGACACGGGGCACCCCAGGACGGCGTGGCGACCACGCCGCGTGGTGGGTCGGTGGGGGCTCGAAGTTCGAGATTTCGGGGGTGTTCGTCGGTTCCGGCGGTCTTCCAGCCTCGGGGACCGCCGTGCAGTCAGCGTGCTACGTCGGATTCCCAATGCGCCGAAGCCCCGGGGGCGGGCATAGCCAGCCAGCGGCCAGGGCTAGGCGGAGGCCACTCAGAGCCGCCCTCACCACGGAGAACACGACGTCGACCTCCACGACGCTGGGGCCGAAGTGCGTGGTCTGGTGATAGGTGCCGAGAGCGTTTTGGGGGTACTTGGATCGTCCCGAACGGCTGCCGGAGAGCCGAGCTACGCCCGAAGACCAGACGATGAGGACCACATTGTACATTGTGCGGTGAGTCAGTGGGGATTCGGGGTCACCGTATGGCTTTGGGAGTCGGGTCGGTGTCAGAGGACGTCTCGGGCCGACTGGTGCCTCCGAGGCCTCAGGACCGTGTGGTGGTCCGGGGATTCCGATGTCACCACGCGGTCCGTCACCACACAGTTCCAGGGCACGTTGGCACCAGCACCACTATCGGTGGCTGCCTCCGTTAAGAGAAGATGATCCCGGTCTCGGTGATGGTGGCAATATTTGAGCTTCTTTGCCGCCGAGAGAACATCACCAGCACCAAAATCCAGGGTCATTTTCCCTGGCTCGCCGCGTTGGTGGCAATCCCCGTGTTGGCGGTGGTGGTGCCACTTTCCAGCCCCCAATGCCCGCCCCTCTCGAAGAAGAAAACCTGCAGCGGCATCAGCACCAATTTGTGGGTCCGTGCGGGTTTCTTGGATCGGCGCAGGGATGGAGGTGCAGCGCCGACCCAAGATACCCGCGCGGACCTCCGAAAGGTCATATTCGCGTCGTTTTGTTTATCCAGATACCGCTGCCCGTCCCTCGTCGCCGCGGCTGGATTCGCCTCGAGATCCTGGTCAGAACGACAGTGCCGGGAGGGTCGGGGGAGCAGCGCCATCGGATCCTTTCTGCTTCCAGCGGCACAGATCATACATCGGAATGCGGCTCTGCATTTCTGTGGCCTCCTGGGGGCCCCACTCGCCCCCCGGGACCGTCCACGTCATCGTTCGTCGTCGTTGTCGCCGACAACATATTATATATTGCCATCCTCCTCTGATGCATCCTCCTACTACTTACATGCTACTCATCCCTCCCCATCCTGATCCTCATGATTATCACCTCATCCTCCTCTTCTCCTCCTCCTCCTCCTCCTCCAGCTCGAGGAATGAAAAGCCGGGCCCCCCAGGAGGTGTGCAGCAAACCGTCGGGGGGCCCACGCTCGGTTTTTCTTGGGGCTCTCGCAGGGCGTGGGGCGCCTCGAAAGGCTCGCTCGCCTTCGGGAAGGCCTCCTCGGAAGCCTCCGGGCCCCTCCGCAGGCCCAGAGGGGGGCACCCCAACGAGCACACCGCCGCCCTGCCCTGCCAGGGCCACCCTGGGGCCTGGAGTGTGGTGTGCAGACTCTCCCGGCCTGGGCGGGGGCCGTGTGCATACAGTCGGGGCGTTGACCTAAGGGACCCTGAATAAGGAACGAGGCCCCTGTTTTCCAAAAGTTGAACTTCGATTTCCCATGGAAAACATTCGGGAAACTTCAGGCAAATGGCAGAACAATCAAGAAACACCGAGCCCCTCCCCAACGGAAAGGGTTCCTTCTTCAGCGCCCCAGCTGTACCACACCCAGGACCCAGGAGCTTCCAGGCGGGACCCGGCCGAGCATGGCGGTGGTGCCGCTGTCTGCTGATTGAGCCGCCCCCCCCTGCCCTGCCAGAGGCTCGGAGGCCCTCTCGGAAGCCGCCGGGCCCCTCTGGTGCAGAGGAGGTCAGGGGCAACGTAGGGGGGTCATTTAGCAAAGGGTGGGAGCAACGCAACGACCCCCAATCGCCCATTCATCGCCAACAGGGGCCTGATGGCCCAGCCTGACCAGGAACGTGCGATTTCGCTATCGGGGGTCTATCGCCGATCTATCGGCGATGCATCGCCGATTCCGGTCCGATGTTTCCCCCCCCTGAGTCTCGGGGGCGGAAAAGAGGGGGGTGATGGCTAGGGGGGGGTGGATATCATGGCGGGGGGCATGATATTTCCCCAGATTTCATGGCGCCTCTTCTTATTTCATTATGTCCCTGGCCCCCCCGTTGGGCCGCGCACATGCCGCTGGTCATGATTTGCACCCCCCCCCTCTTGGACACCCCCCTCTTTGCCGCTCCCGAGAGTCGGCCCCCCCTAACGTTGCCCCTCAGGAGGCCCCCATGACTTCCCGGCAGGCCGCTACTTGGCCGTCTTTTGCGGATTCAAAGCGACCCCCCCCGCCTTCGGAGGCTCGGAGGCCTCCCCCGAAGCCACCAGGCCGTTCAGCACAGGGGAGGACCGGGATCTCTTTTTGTTGGCAGGGGCTCGACAGCACGCCTCGGGAGCCGAAATCGCGGAACAACGCCGAGGTGAACGAATCATCCAGTGCCGTTTTTAATACATGCTCCGCGTGCGGATCATATATTAAACATGCAGGGATTTAGTATTAAAAAACGATGAGTTCATGCATAAATTGATTCATAAGTTAATCATGGATTAAGCATCCTATATTTGTA